CCCTTCCCTCAAGAAGACTGGGGTGAACCCAAGCAACTGTCCCCTTGAGTAGAAGGAAGTAACATTCACATTCTCCCAACATATGGATACTTGGGATCCACTGTCCATCCAGAAAGTCTCATTAAATTACATCATGTAATGGGAGACAGCTAAAAAGTGACAAGTTTTTAAAGTGCTTATATACCAATGCTAGAAGTCTAAATAATTGGATGGGCAAACTAGAGTGCCTTGTATTAAATGAGGATATTGATATAATAGGCATCACAGAAACTTAGTGGAATGAGGATAATTAATGGGACACAGTAATATCAGGATACAAAATACATCAGAAGGACAGAACAGGTCGTGCTGGTGGGGGAGTGGCACTATATGTGAAAGAAAGCATAGAATCAAATGAAGTAAAAATCTTAAATGAATCAAACTGTACCGCAGAATCTCTATGAATAGTAATTCCATTGTTGAATAATAATATAACAGTAGGAATATATTATTGACCATCTGACCAGGATAGTGATAGTAAGTGTAAAATGCTCAGGGAGATTAAAGAAGCTATTAAAATTAAAAAAAACTCAATAATAATGGGGGATTTCAACTATCCCCATATTGACTGGGTACATATCACCTCAGGAAGGGATGCAGAGATAAAGTTTCTTGACACCTTAAATGACTGCTTCTTGGAGCAGCTAGTCCTGGAACCCACCAGAGGAGAGGCAATTCTTCATGTAGTGCTAAGTGGAGCACAGGATCAGGTCCAAGAGGTGAATATAATTGGACCATTCGGTAATAGTGACCATAATATCATTAAATTTAACATCCCTGCGGCAGGAAAAACATCACAGTGGTCCAACACCGTAACATTAAATTTCAGAAAGGGGAACTACACAAAAATGAGGAGGTTAGTTAAACAGAAATTAAAACGTACACCAAAAGTAAAATCCCTGCAAGCTGCATGAAAACTTTTTAAAGACATCAAAACAGAGGCTCAACTTAAATGTATACCCCAAATTAAAAAACAGAGAACCAAAAAAGAGCCACTATGGCTAAAAAACAAAGTAAAAGAAGCAGTGAGAGGCAAAAAAGCATCCTTTCAAAAGTGGAAGTTAAATCCTAGTGAGGAAAATAGAAAGGTGCATAAACTCTGGCAAATGAAGTGTAAAAATATAATTAGGAAGGCCAAAAAAGAATTTGAAGAACAGCTAGCCAAAGACTCAAAAAGTAATAGCAAAAAAACTTTTAAGTACATCAGAAGCAGGAAGCCTGCTAAACAACCAGTGGGGCCACTGGACGATCAAAATGTTAAAGGAGCACTCAAGGACGATAAGGCCATTGCAGAGAAACTAAATGAATTCTTTGCATCAGTCTTCATGGTTGAGGATGTGAGGGAGATTCCCAAACCTGAGCCATTCTTTTTAGGTAACAAATCTGAGGAACTGTCCCAGATTGAGGTGTCATTAGAGGTTTTGGAACAAACTGATAAACTAAACAGTAATAAGTCACCAGGACCAGATGGTATTTACCCAAGAGTTCTGAAGGAACTCAAATGTGAAATTGCAGGACTATTAACTGTCATCTGTAACCTATCATTTAAATCAGCATCTGTACCAAAAGACATCGTGGATATAGTGTATTTAGATTTTCAGAAAGCCTTTGACAAGGTCCCTCACCAAAGGCTATTAAGCAAAGTAAGCAGTCATGGGATAATAGGGAAGGTTATCTCATGTACTGGTAACTGGTTAAAAGATAGGAAACAAAGGGTAGGAATAAATAGTCAGTTTTCAGAATAGAGAGAGGTAAATAGTGCTGCCCCCAGGGGTCTGTACTGGGTCCAGTCCTATTCAACATATTCAGAAATTATCCAGAAAAAGGGGTAAAGAATCAGGTGGCAAAATTTGCAGATGATACAAAACTATTAAAGATGGTTAACTCTCAGGCAGACTGCGAAGAGCTACAAAAGGCTCTCTCAAAACTGGGTGACAGGGCAACAAAACTACAGATGAAATTCAATGTTGATAAATGCAAAGTAATGCACATTGGAAAACATAATCGCAGCTATACATATAAAATGATAGGGTCTAAATTAGCTGTTATCACTCAAGAAAGAGATCTTGGAGTAGTTGTGGATAGTTCGCTGAAAACATCCACTCAGTGTGTATCGGGAGTCAAAAAAGCGAATGGAATGTTGGGCATCATTAAGAAAGGGATAGATAATAAAACAGAAAATATCATATTGCCTCTATATAAATCCATGGTATGCCCACATCTTGAATACTACGTGCAGATGTGGCTGCCCAATCTCAAAAAAGATAGATTAGAATTGGAAAAGGTTCAGAAAAGGGCAACAAAAATGATTAAGGGTATGGAACAGCTTCCTTATGAAGAGAGATGAATAAAACTGGGACTTTTCAGCCTGGAAAAAAAGATGACTAAGTGGGGATATGATAGACTGAGGTCTATAAAATCAAGACTGTTGTGGAGAAAGTAAATACGAAAGTGTTATTTATTCCTTCTCATAACATAAGAACTAGGGGTCACCAAATGAAATTTAATAGGCAGTGGGTTTAAAACAAACAAAAGGAAGTATTTTTCCATACAACGCACAGTCAACCTGTGGAACTCCTTGCCAGAGGATGTTGTGAAGGCCAAGACCACAACAGGGTTCAAAAAAGAACAAGTTAAATTCATGGAGGATAGGTCCATCAGTGGCTATTAGCCAGGATGGGCAGGTATAGTGTCCCTAGCCTCTGTTTGCCAGAAGATGGGAATTGGCAACAGGGGATGGATCACTTGATGAATACCTATTCTATTCATTCCCTCTGGGGCACCTGGCATTGGCCACTGTCGGAAGTCAGGATACTGGGCTAGATGGACCTTTGGTCTGACCCAGTATGACTGTTCTTATTGGAAAGGGAAGCCCTAGATTCACAGACAGGGAAGCATTCAAGTGGAAAGCTGGCCCCTCCACACTGCCTTGCTGGACCTCCCTGGCATTCTGACCCCTGAAGTCCCCCTCTGGCTACACAGCAGCAGCTGCAGAGGGAACCAAGAGGGGGTCAATACTGCTTAAAGTATTAACAACTCCCAATCAAATGTCTGAGTCAAAAATACTGCTTAAAGTATTAACAACTCCCAATCAAATGTCTGAGTCAAAGCTAGTGGGCTCAGCAGTAATGATATTGTAGAGTGACCAGTCCCCCTAATCCACTTCTTCCAGCTCCTAGAAAGCATTTAGAGCCCTGACTATGTGAAGTTCCACCAGAGGACATTCAGTGGAGTTCAGGAAGAATGCTAATGAACCAACACTGTCCCCTCTCTTCCCTCCCCATCCTTCTCATACCCAAGATAGATCCACTGGAACTGGATCCCTATGCTTGAGGAAGTGGAAGATACAGTCCTGAACTCTGTATTTAAAATAAAAAATAAAAACAAAAACAAAAAACGTGCAGCAGTAGCACACGGGACTTTTCCAGGATAATCAACACTTCCTTCACTGTGTGTTCCCAAGTAAACAACTTGTAAACTTCCTGTTTTACTTTCTTAACTGGGAAAGTACCCCCCCATTCATGGGCTAGTAACTCCACCAACATCCTCATTGTCTTAAGCAGTCTTACAAAATCTCCCTGCCTCAACAGCTTTTATCTCTAAATATGAAACTAATAGTACTTATCTGCAGCACTCACAACGATATTTGAAAAGCACTTCACAAAAATTGTGTTTATTATAAATAGCATGCAGCCTTATTTCCTTCAATATCTAGCTCATTTTATAACTCAGCTTTACTTTTAAAACCTTGAGAGCTTAAAATGTAACCTTAGAAGTAGTGCCAGTAGCTGAACTTTTTTTCAAAATTTTAAACAAATATTTGCCTGACAAAGAATCTAAACAGCTAAGAGCTCTCTATAATAATTATCACTAAAGCAAGATTACAATCACACTGAAGGGAAAGAATGATCTGAGCTCTCACTGTAATCCCAGAGCTCAAAAGCTGGTACAGCCCCCCTAGTGTGGATGTCTTTTATGTCGACAGAAGGCGTTTGTCAGTGTAGGAACACCTCCATTAGCATGGGCGGTGTATAATGGAGGCTGGGGAGGCTACGCTGCCAGGTGGGAAAGGGAAAACAGGGGCGGAATTGGGGCCCCCGGAAAAATCTCCTTCCACCACAGCACAGAGCTTTTCTGGTCTTGGGGCCACAGCGGGGCGGGGTGGGGATGGCAGAGGGGGAAGAGGAGTGAGCGGGGGATGCAGCAGGGCCTCAAGGGGGGAGGGAGAAGTGGAGTGGAGGTGGAATGGGGACGGGGGCTGCGGTGGAAGGGACAAAACGAAAGAGGGACTCTGGGCTAAGAGCTTCAGCCAGGGTCATGAGCTCCACTGTGGCCCCGACCGAGCCCTCAGCTCCCTCTCCCCCCATTGGGAGGGGGCTGAGAGCAGTGGGGGGCACCACCAGAGGAGGCAGGGCTGTGGGAAGCTTCACCTGCCACTCATGTCCATTAGCTATGCTGATAGAATTTGTCAGTCTCTAAGGTGCCACAAGGACTCTCATTGGTTTTGCTGACACAGACTATCAGGGCTACCACTCTGAAACTAGACATTTTGTCAGCATAGCTATGTTGGTCAGGGGTGCGTTTTATCACGCCCCTGAGTGACATAACTACACCAAAGTGTAGATCAAGCCTGAGATTGTGAGAATCTTCAGCAAGTGAAAGAAAGTTCTTGTATAGGATATAGATTTAAACTGCAACCAAGTTCCTGCCTACACAGGAAAACTGACCAGCAGGGGTTCTCTTCTCTAGTACTATACATTACAATAATTATCTTCTCCTGACTGATTTGCATTAACATATTCAGTATTCAAACTCAAAAGATTTCTCTAACATGTGCTACAAAAACGTTGCTGATCACTTGCAAGAGAGGGTAAGTAATAAAACAAGGCATTGATTGCTTTATGCTCAGCTTAAGTGTACTGAAAAGTGAAACTCCTTATGAATAATTAACCCGCACTTACAGTTTGAGACTGGTTCCTTTTGTTAGAAACATTGGCAACATTGAGTCCATCTATCACAATATCATACGGAGGATTATTTTCTACAAAGTTTTGAAATTCTTCAAGTTCCTAGAAAGAGGAGAAAAGAAAAAAAAATTAAATTAATAGGATTTTTTTAAGCTTTTTTTAAAAAAAAAAGACCAAAAAACCCTAAACCTCTCACTTTACTATCATCTGCTGCCTTTGATATCTTTAATAAAATATTTGCTGCAACACCTTCAAGGGACGGTAACATAGTACTAGATGCTTTCAATTACATTTTTCTTTGCTTACAATTGAACAAACTCCACTGCTTCTACCCCTCTTAAACTCACAGTATAAACTGAACATTTTTGACAAAAATAGGCAGGTCAGTCAAAATCTGACAGAAGCTTCAAAACTTCAGGTAGGTACAGCTTTTTTATTTCATTTAAAAAGAAAATAGGAGACTTGTGTTCCGTTCCCAGCTGTGCCATTGACTAGCTGTGTAACCATGAGCACGATACGTTGCGTCTCTGTGCTTCGGTTTCCCCATCAGCAAAATGGGAATAATGCTATTTAGCTTCTTTAGTAAACAGCTTTGAGATCTCTGAATGGAAAGCATTAAATAAGAGATTCTTGTTGATATATTTGCTTACTACTCTGGTTGTAAGGCATACACAAAGCTTTTAAAGCAGGTAAAATAGAGAACTTTGCTATGTCAGAAATGTCACCCAATGGCTGATCAAAGAGCATCTCTCCAACTCTCCTAACCAAAGGGAAATCATACCTGAATCAGACCTGTCTAGAAGAGCTCTGTGTAAGCTCAGAAGGTTTTCTCTCATCAACAGAAGATTGTCCAATAAAAGATATTACCTCATCCACCTTGTCTCTCACTAGTATCCTGTGGGACCAACATGGCTACAACAACATTGCACGCAGGGATTGGTAGCATTTAACAGAGGAGGAACTCTGTCGTGAATAACAGATTACTAAAGCCTTCACACACCTCTCGCTTCACAAGTCCTAGAATTTGCATTCCTGCACAGGTTAGCAAGCCATAGGACATGGCAGTTACATAGATTAGGGGAGGCTTTGTACTAAATAGGGCTTTTTGAAACTATGGGAATGGCACAGCATTGTCTTTGTGCAGGGGGTTGGGATCCCTCAGGGGGTTGCGAGGTTATTACATGGGGGGTCGCGAGCTGTCAGCCTCCACCCCAAACTCCGCTTTGCCTCCAGCATTTATAATGATGTTAAATATATTAAAAAGTGTTTTTAATGTATGGGGGGGGTCGCCCTCAGAGGCTTGCTGTGTGAAAGGGGTCTCCAGTGCAAAAGTCTGAGAACCCCTGTCTTTGTGGAATGCTTTGTAATTTTACCAGATTCATGCACTAGATCAGTGGTTCTCAAACTTTTGTATTAATGACCCCTTTCACACAGCAAGCCTCTGAGGGCAACCCCCCTTATAAATTAAAACACACATTTTTATATATTTAACACCATTATAAATGCCGGAGGCAAAGCGGGGTTTGGGGTGGAGGCTGACAGCTCACGACCCCCAATTTGAGAACCCCTGTACTAGATCATGCAGCATCTGCAAGTAACACTGTCTACCACCCTAGGTTGTATAAGATGCTGTCAGTGTGAATTCTAATCAGTTTTTTAAAAGTAGCTTCAGATTACATGTGACCTGGAGTCCCCAGTGACGTTATTTGGAGTTTTACAATCACCCATTTTGGGTTTTGTGGGGTGGTTTTAAGTTTTTCTCTCTCCTGTTGTGCTTTGTGAAAAATCCACACAAATAACTGAGGAAACTGACTGATTAGACAGGAAAACAGACACAGAAATGACTACACTCAAAAAGGTGTCAAATAGAGAAAGAAAACTACAAAAATAAAGAAAAAATATTTTTCCTCTCATTGCTTTCAGTTACAATAATCTCAGCTGTAACCTGTAACAACAGCAAGTAAAACAACTGCAGACAAAAATGTGGCTTGGAAGTTGACAATGTCCCCTTCACCAACAAATGCAGTGTGCTAGATTCGGCTTTCTTTTCTGCTGATGTGGAAAAAGAGAAACTCAGTTGAAGTCAGTGGATTTACACATATTTTAGCAGAATTTCTGAATTAGTGTTTAATGGAAAGCTTTTTGTAATGTAATCACTAGAAAACCTTCAGCAGATAGAGGCTTCTACGTGTATTCAGTTCCTGATATGTCACGCACTATTCTGAAATATATTTCAAGTTAGTCACTGATAAACCTGAGCAATATATTGAAAATATCAGCATCATCAGAGTACATTTTAAACCTTCGGAAGAGTAATTACCTGACAACAAACATGCAGGGAAATCCCTCGGATTATGGAACATGAAAATATGTACTGCAGGTTACTACAGTTTAAGGTGTGTCTCCGAGATGAACCCAATCAACTCGCATGTCATCAATCTCCTCCAATTACCTCCTGCATATCTCTAGCACAAAAGGAAAGTAGAACTAGCCACACAAGTATACTTTGTTTCTTAGAGCTTGGCTACACTTACATTTTATAGCACTCTAATTTGCTGGCTCAGGGGTGTGAAAAATCACACATACACACACCTCTCCACCCCCCCCCAGTGCAGCAAGTCAGAGCGCTTTAAAGTGCCAGTGTAAACAGGCTCCGAGCGCTGGGAGCCACGCTCCCAGTGCTCGGAGCTAATCCCCTTGTGGAGGTGGATTACCAGGAGCGCGACCACACTTGCACTTCAAAGCACTGCCGTGGGAGCGCTCCCCCAACAGCGCTTTGAAGTTTCCAGTGTAGCCATGCCCTCAGGAAACTGCTATGTGACTGTTACTAAGAACATGCCTATGCAACTATTCTGCGTAGTACCCCCTGCAGTACACCCAAGAAACCATTTTCATGACATTAATGGTATTATTAATAGTTCTTCTTGGGAGAAGTTATTTGGACATTTTAGAAGATTTTTGGACATTTTATAAGGTGACAATCCTTCTCCCACTGAACTCAAAGGGAATTTTGCCACTGACTTCAACTGCAGCAGGACATCTCTTTTTAAGTGTAGCTTAATGCTGTACTTAAAAACAGAATCCCAGAGATAGCAGATAAAGATACACAGATATATTTTATTGAAGACACTGAGGCGTCCCTTCTCAAATTGTCCTTGAGACAGTAATGGGTCTGCTGTCTGGACAATACATTTGAGCTGAAGGATTCATCATCCTTACACCATGATCACTCATTAAATTATTCGGCTTCTGAGGTGGTAAAGGCCAATGAGAAGGTATTGGGTGCCATGTCAGTAGAGATTAACAGGGTTTCCCTGTGGGGAGAGGAGATGTTAGTTTTCTTGACAATGCTGCAAGACCCTGCTCAAGAAACTAACTCCTGACATTAACAATCTTAACAACTGACCACTTTCCAATCTCCCTTTTTTGGGAAAGGTAATAGAGCAGGTTGCAGCCAGAAAACTATGAGAGTTTTGGGATTCCTCAAATTTGCATGAGCTCTATCAGATACAGGCTTGGGCATGAGACAAAAATTGTGCTGGTGGCACTAGTTGATTATTTCCTCCCAGAAACTGAAAATGAAGAAGTGTTCAGGTTGATTATTTTACATCTATTAGCAGCCTTTTACACTATGGACCAGAAGTTGATGTGTATGGAAAAAGCTTCGTCCTAAGAGGTGTCACTGGAGGACTGGTTATTAGGGAGACATGGACTGCAATGTGCTCCATATGCTGATGAAGCCCAGCTCTTTGTTTCTATCAAGTCTGATCCAGATGGTGCAGTGGAACAAATTACCTAGTGCCTACACAAACTTGGTTAGTTCTCATTTTGAATAAGACTGATATGATGTTGGTGGGTTGGGGGAAGCAGTCAGAAGAGCTATTGAAGTGCCACTGTCAGAGGTAGTATGACCACCATTTGTAATATTGGTGTATATTCTAAGTATTTTATTACAACCTGGGCTGCTCCTGGATGCCAAAGCACTTTTTTCCATCTGTGCCTAGTTATACTCCAATCTAGACTTTGCCATAATGAATCTCATCTCTGACCTTGACAAAAGATATAATGTTCTCTACACAGTGCTGCCCTTTAAAGTAACCGAATCACAGAAATGTAGGAATGGAAGGAACCTTGAGAGGTTATCAAGTCAAGCATCCTGCACTGAGGAACGACCAAGTAAATCTAGACCATCCCTCACAGACGTTTGTTCAACTTGTTCTTAAAAGCCTCCAGGAACAGGGATTCCAAATCCCCTTGGAAGCCTATTCTAGAGCTTATCTAGCCTCATAGTTAGAAAGCTTTTCCTAATATCTAACTTAAGTCTCTCTCTTGCTGCAGATTAAGCCCCATTACTTCTTGTCCTACCATCAGCAGACATGGAGAATAATTGATCACCATCCTATACATAACAGCACTTAGCATATCTGAGGACTTATCAGGCCCCTCCTCAATCTTTTTTCCTCAAGACTAAATATACCCAGTACTTTTTTAGCCTTTCCTCATAGGTCAGCTTTTCTAAACCTTTTATCATTTTTGTTGTTCTCCTCTGGACTCTCCTGAATTTGTCCACATCTTTCCTAAAGTATGGGCCCAGAATTGGACACAAATAGGCCGAGGCTTCACCAGTGCTGAGTAGAACAGGACAATTACCTCCCATATGTTACGGACACTCAAGTTAATACACTCCAGAATGATAGTAGCCTTTGTTACAACAGCATCACATAGTTGGTTCATATTCAATTTATGATCCACCATAATCCCAAATTCCTTTTCAGCAGTACAACCACTCTGCCAGTTATTCCCCATTTTCTAGTTGTATATTTGATTTTTCCTTCCTAAGTGAAGTACTCTGCACTTATCTTTACTGAATTTCATCTTGGTGAATTCAGACCAATTCTCCAATTTTTCAAGGTCCTTAATCCTGCTCTCCAAAGGGCTTACAACCCCTTTCAACTTGGTATCATCTGCAAATTTTAAAGCATACTCTCCACTCCAATATCCAAATCATTAACAAAAATATTGAATAGAACCGGATCCAGGAATGACCATGTGGGATACTACTGGATATGCCCTCACAGTTTGACAGTGAACCACTGATAACT